GCTATGCCACTTGAGCTATCGTGGCTTCGATTCACTCGGACACCAACTTCCCAGGTCAACCCACATTTCGAATTTTCCCTCCTTTTTGTCATTTTTCAAATGTTGTGTAATCTATTCGATTCTCGGCGACAAATGAAATGACCACGGAGAGCTTTAGTGGAGATATACTTCATTTTACTTATTAAATCGATTAGGACTTAAAAACGTTAATCAATAATTTCCTTAGAGTTCGTGGTCCGATTGAACAAATAACTTCTTTCAATTAATTAAACTTTATGCAAAATATTGCTTGAGATAATGAAGTATATCTTTACTAAGTGGCACTTAAGTGGGACAGCAGCGGCGTATTTAGCCGAAGGTCGTCCCGCTCGTGACTCTGACTTTTTTACCCAACCCCCATCTTACATAAAGTTTAATTAATTGAAAGAAGTTATTTGGTCAATCGGACCACGAACTCTAATGGAATTATTGATTAAAGTTTTTAAGTCCTGATAAAGGGATACATTTATTAAAACCTTGACGAAGAAACTGAATGTTTTTTTCCTAATTGACCTGATCTCAGATCGTTTCATAATATATAATTATCTTTATTTTACAAACAAATAAATATTCGATCACTGATAGGCTATTGTTAAAAAATATATTTAAAAAGGAAAAGCTAGCATGTGCAGTTTCGTCCAAAGATCATAGTTTACTATAATGGTAACAAAGAACGTAAGTGTCTTCAAAGGTGCAATTCTACTGCGGCATAGAAAATGGAGAATTTGGGAAAATAAAGCTGGAAGATGCTGAACAACTGGCGAATGCGGAGAGGAGTGGCTTGCGGTTTTATAGTCTAGGAGGGCACCGCACACAAGGATCGACCGCGCCACGACACTCACACCAAGTGGTATTTTAAAAAGCCGGTAACTATGATTTTCAAGTAGATTCTGGTCTAAAGCGCAACGACAAATATTAGTTTCTAAAAGAAAAACAATTGTGAGGAATGATTCTCAAATTCTGCGCATAATTGCTAAATAATAAATAATTAACAATAATAATAAATCACATTTAAAAATGATATTTTAATAAATTCAAATGTCAGACACTTATTTTAAAACGTCGCAATTATCAGTACTTTACACACGTTGAATTTAAGTACAACTAGAAACCAACCCTATCGTCGATAAGCACCTTTTTATTCCTTCCTAAATTTCTTAAAAACAAGCGTTGGATACAATTTTCAAAAAGGTTAATAATGTTAAATAACTGTATTAATTGAAAATTATTTCGCTTTCTTTGATAAAGGACATCTTAAGTGATAGGAGACACAATTTTGAGAGAAATCATTTCGGATGTATTACATACATTTTCATGGAAGTAAAAAAAGAATTGTTTTAATATTTTCTATTATATATAATTTTATATTTCCGGTGAATAATTTTCCGGTGAATTTTCCAGGTTCTAGTTCATCCCGAACTAAAGTAACTCACTACGCTCCAATTTAATTCAACCCGATCATCTTTAACAGTTTCTTAAATCATCACACCATATTTTTTTTAGACTTTTTCGAGATCTTGCCTTATTGAAAAAATGATTTATTCGTTTCTCAGATACTGAATGTGGAAGAATGTTTGTAGTTGGTAAAAAATATAGACATTAAAAAAATAAATTCACTAGTTTCGTGGTCCGCTTGACCAATTAATATCATACAATTAATTAAGGTTTTTAGTTGAAATAAAAACCTTAATTAATTGTATGATATTAATTGGTCAAGCGGACCACGAAACTAGAGGATTTAATATGTTTAAAATGAAATATCCTTCACTAAAGCTCTCCGTGGCCATTTCATTTCTCACCGAGAATCAAATTGATTACACGACATTTGAAAAATGGCGAAAAGGAGGGAAAATTCAAAAGGTGTGGTTGAGATGGCAGGTTGGTGTCTCAAGTGGTAGAGCAGCGGCGTATCAAGCCGAAAATCGTGGGTTCGAATCCCGCTCGTGCCATAGACTTTTTTATCTCAACTAAAAACCTTAATTAATTGTATAAAAAAATAGAGTTCAGGAAGTGCATAGGCGCTTTTGATTACCCTCGTTTTATTTCTGATAGCTTTTTCCTTTTTTTAATGTTTGTAATTGTTTTACAAGAGAGTTTCTGTATGTTACTCCAAAATTTGTAATTAGCTCATCTAAAAATCAGATTTTTTGCAGTGCTGTTTCTTTTATTTTCTATACAGTTAAGTATTTTCCGACAAGCTCTAAATGTAAATTTTCTTCATTTTTGATAAAATTCGACGCCAGTTTTTTTTATACGATATCTCTTTCAAATGAAGCAACAAGTAAAAATTGTATTTTGAAAAAAATTAAGTAGTAAAAATTGAAACGAAATATTAAAAGGCCTCGGGAAAGAGGTACAACAAAAAAATGAATGCAGATACTTGTCTTATTTAAATTTTTCGGTTTATTTTAGAAAACATTTCCATTTTTTTAAGTAAATACATAACTTATTTTCATTTATATTACGTTCGGGAATTTACGCTCATCATCATTTTCAATATTTTATATAAAAAGACGTACGTATAATATAATGTTTTACATTTTATAAAAAAGCTTATCTTATATTGTATTAAATTTGTAATTTATTATTACAAATAATTTTATTAGGGTTCGTGGTCCGTTTGACCAAATAATTACAAATAATATAGTAATAATAATAAATTCTAAATTTAATACAATATTAGGCCAGCTTTTAAAAAAAATGTAACATATGATTATCAATGTTATACTTATGCCTTTTTATAAAATATATAGATACTGATGATGGGGAAAATTCCCGAAACGAAAAATAATTGAAAATAAGTAATGTATTTACGTTTTTAGTTATTTGATTATTTAACACTATTTCGAAAAAGTAAATACAAAAATCTATTTTTATGTTCGTTTCGGAATTTACACCCTCATCAGCATCTATATTTTTTATACAAAGACGTATAACACCGATATTTATATTTTGCCACATTTTATCAAAAAGCATACCATAAATTGTATATTATTTATAATTTGCTATTATAAAGAATATAAATAATAATAATAAATGAATTATAAATTTAATGCAATATAAAGTGTTTTTAATAAAATGTAAAATAGGGAATGTCTTTTTATACAAAAAATAGATATTGATGATGGGTGAAATTTCACCAAATTTCCAAATAAATGAAAAAATGAATGTGTTTACTTTTTGTTTTACATAAACCAAAAAATTATAAATAAAAATCATTTTCTAAGAAAACATTATGCTGTCTTATCTTTTAAGAATTAGTGCTTGAGTAATCTGTTATTCAATATTTTTAAAATTTGGATTGAAACTTGAAGTATTCCAATATAGTTTTATTAGTACAATATATTATTTTAGACGATAAAAGTCACGAGGGAAAATAGTCTAAAGATTTCCAATAATTAAATCAATCAACGTTGACTGTATTGAGTTTAAATGTTGTTTAACAAACGAGTGTCGATAAAAAAAGCAATTTAAATATACAGTCACTTTATGGCATTCTTGCTTGGTTCTGCACTTCTGAATCGAAATGATACGATTGTCTGCAAGTAATTAATTGTTTGAAATGTGCGCCAGTGGTGCAAATGGAAAAGGGCTCGGTATAATAAACAAATTTCGACGATGTCTCCCTTCAACGCAGGGAATGGGATTTCGTTCGGGAAAAATTGTGAAGCGAGGTGTGAACTGTTCCGGCGGCTTTCCCTCTCACACTTTCTCTCATTCGCTCTGAACCGGTTCAAAAAGTGTATTTCCGCGGGTGTATCAATGTTTTCCGGTTAATATTTTGCGTGGGACGGTTTGTGTACTGTCGACGGGCCCTCTTCACTTCCCAACGAATAAATCCTTTTTTACCGGCACAAATAACAGAATAGATTTTATTGCCGAATGAAAAACGTTTTTGATTAAGTCGTCGACTTTTTCGCTTAACATCTTATCACCTTGCAAATTCGGTCAATGGTTTATCCATACGAATAAATCAACTTTCCCTGACGATAAGCTAACGCTTAACACTGTTTGTTTTTTTATAATTTATCATTGTAATTGTAGTATATTTCGTGTATGATTGTACTGTAATTTAATTGTCGTCGGTGCTAACAATGACTATGAGCGTGAGAAGTGGGAAAATGGAAATAAGAGGAATTAGCGTTGAGTGTGTTTGGAGGGAGGGTTCCGATTGAGGATGGCGTGTCTCGGAAGAGGGGTGAGTAAATTAAAACTTAAGAGAGAAAGAGGGCAGTTTATAGGAAGGGGATGTCACCGATGTCGATAGGTAGAACGTAAAAGTGTCATCCTCGGAGTGGAGACTTGTTGATATCGGCCAAGATGTCATGCGCGAAAAAGTGTTTCGTTTCTCGTAAAAAACGGCTCTTCTGTCGCACGGTATAAAACACCTGGACCGGCCAGTTTCGACGTTTAGTCGGTGATGATTTTATTCCCACTGTAAGAACCAAACAGTTTAAATAAATATATAGGTAATGATTCATTAGCTTTAAGGGCTTGGATAAATCCGGCGACGTTATCTGTCTGTCAGGGAGACCAATGATGGAGGTAGGTCGATGTCGAGAAACTTCATGGCCCGTTTTTTGACCCTTGTGACCCGTTTTATCTTTAGCGTGCACGATTCAATTGCCCTCGTAGGCTGTGAGAACACGAACGTGGTCGAAAACGACTGACAAGGTACTTTTGTCATGGTTAATAAAATATCTGTCAAGAAGAAATGTTTTGAATGTACTAATTAGAGAATCGCCTTCACTGTGTTAAAAGCGGATCGAGTCGTCAAATAGTTGTGATGATTATAACAAAAGGGTAATTCTTTATGATCGCTACCAAGCGGGTTTTGTGAAAACTGGATGTCATTCAAAAAGAGTGCTATTTAAGCAGTCAGAAAAAATAAGATGATAAGATATTCAGACATAGATGTCACGACAAAAAGTCACAAGTGATTCTTAGCGTTGGTCACTCACCTCTTCCGCTCCTCCCGACGAACCTGAGGTCGTTGAATTTGGCGACCTGGTTCTTCATGACGGCGGTACAGTTCCTCAACTCGGCACAGTAGTTTTCGTCGTTGCCCGCCCTGACGGTGACGACCGTCCCGTCCATCACTTCACCCAGCGCCACCACTTTGAACCCGACCGGCAGAGTCTTGTTCGACCTCCAGTGTGACGGGAGGCCGGTGCAGACGAAATGTGGGCTTCCGGTCCTGACCAGCTCGCCGGGGTGTTCCGCGAGGAAGTCGCCCAGAGTCCTCTCTGCGAGGATGTCCGAGGTCATCTTGGTGTAGGTGTCGCTGAGGGGGTTGGCCCCCTCTTGGGGCGACATCCCGGTGGTCGCAGTCAAGTGCATCAGCCCATCCGTTCCCTCTTCATCCCGGTTTTCCCCGTTTATAGTTAGCGGCTATATAGTTAGCGGGTTTCTGAGGGTTTGAGTGGTGTGCGGCTTGAGGCTCGGCGGAGAGGGGGCGACCAAACCACGCAAACTCTACCGCGGACACATGTACTCCCCCACCACCTATCCACCCTCCTTATCGCTAACTCTTCTACAACCCACCCCCGGCGGCCACTCCTCCCCCAACGCCTTTTATTTACACCGGCGGAATTATCGCCCGCTATGAAGATAACGCGAATCACACCGCTCTCTTTCAACGGCTCTCCACTCACTTTCACCCCCTTAAAACGCCCTCTCCGGCCCCCGTCAATTTATCAATCTCAACAAAATTTCATTTGCCCAACACTAATTTTCATACGTTGATCGCGTTGTCTTTATTTCTGTTTTTTCAAATTCATCAAATTGAGTCTAATTTATAGTTTTAATATCTCATTATTGCAAAGACAATATTCTAAAACGTCACGACGCGAATTCGTCTTATTCCTCTATGGAATCGGGTGAAGAAACTTAACAAAGTCCTCCGCATAAACCTGAAGGAAACGTGCGCATAAAAAGTAAGTATTTATTTCAATTAATTATTCTTTTTATGTTAATTATGTTCATTGAAATAAGTAATTTGGTCAGTTAGACCACTAAACATAAATGGATTAATATGTAACTATTTATGTTGAATATTTTTTTTAAAAAAATATCATTTTGCGAACAATCGATAAATAATAATAAATTAAATCCATTACAGTTCGTAGTCAGAGTGACCAATTAACTTTTTTCTATTAGTTAATCTTTTTGAAAGGTATTGGTTGAGAAAAAAAAGTCAGTGTCACGAGCTGGATTCGAACTTACGATCTTCGGCTAAATACGCCGCTGCTCGACCACTTGAGCTATCGTGCCTGGTATCATCCGTAGTGCAGCGGCGTATTTAGCCGAAGATCGTAAGTTCGAATCCAGCTCGTGACACTCACTTTTTTTATCTCAACCAATACCTGAAGTTTTTCGGAGGATCTACGGAAGAGGTCAACACAGAAAAAAAACTTCCTTTCAGTTTTCGCCGAGCTTTCGACAGTTCTTATACTGTCGAAAGCTCGGCGAAAACTGAAAGGAAGTTTTTTCTCTGTGTTGACCTCTTCCGTAGATCCTCCGAAAAACTTCATGTTTCCAGCAGGTCGATAACCCAGCTCATCGTTACATTTTCATGAACCAATACCTTTCATAAAGAATAATATTAAATCTTTATTTGCTTTTAGTGAAGATATATTTATCAATTATATGCATACAGAACAAGAACTAAAATAAATAATTTAAATAAAGTCAAATAAAAAACAAGTAAAATATTTATTATTAGTATTTACCGCTCCAATACAACCTGCCTAAACTTTGATTTCCTTGAGCTGGAAGACAAAAGTTGTCCTTTACGCTCAATTAATTAATTAAAATTAGGGTCTCGAGTGAGACTCGAACACGAACATTCGGATTGCGATGTGGGCTCCAGTCCCGCTCGTGACACTAATTTTTCAACTCGACCATATTTTGCATTAAAAAAAATCAATTAAAATAATAACTGTTCAGAAATCGTGTGATGTTTTCGTGGTCCGCTTGACCAATTAATATCACTCAATTAATTAAAGTGTTTAGTTGGGATAAAAAAAGTCAGTGGCACCAGCGAGATTCGAACCCACGACCCTCGGCTTGATACGCCGCTACTCTACCACTTGAGCTATCGCGACCTCTATAAAAAATATTTTTTTGCATTGTATAAATTCACTTTTTTCCACATCCTACATGTATTTGTTAAATTTAAACAATGTTTGTAAATCCCAGGCTCTGAAGATGATCTCAATAAAGATCGAAACCTTGGCACGATAAAGAAAATGTTTTTCTGAAACTTACATCACACCAGACCGCATCTCACGATTTGTGAATAATCATCGACTAACGGTCACTAATCACCACACATAAAATAATAACTTTGTTTAATGGAACAAATAAAACATACATTTATGCATAATAATATATATGAGATGAGATAAACTAGATAGAAGTTTATTTGTAGTAAGAGACCCAGCACCGAACCTTCTGGAGTTGAATTCACCAGATCAAAATTCAACAAGAAATATTTCTTTTATTAGTTTTTCTTCCGGTTTGTTTATACTGGGTGTAGTTGTGTGTTTGTTGCCTCGAAATTTATCTTTAAACTAGGCGTTTCGGGTAAACCTCCATGTGAATGGTTGATATTAGCAGCTAAAAAACAAGACAAAACAAACGAGTTTGGAACAAGACAAGCCCTCCTAGAATCTGAACAATGCACATTAGTAAAAAAACATAAACAAACAATAAGTAAATAAAAAATAATAAATGATAACTCCAAAACTAAAAGGATTTTGACAAATTCGTTGATACCACTGAAAACTACGTTAAATTTCCAATAAAATGTGATCAATACTAAATTTGTAAACGTTGGAGGAATAAGTGTTTTAGTAGCCCAATACTTCAACCACGGTGTTTTTTCTTTTCCTTTGTTAATTTCTTCATCTTTGAAAAAGTAATTAAAAAAGCAATTACACACTAAAAAGGATATTAAATGGAGTACGCTTTCTGAAATTTGCTGGTCTCCAGATCTGGAAATAGTAGTTTAGAATCGTCATAGTAATTTTTTCAACTTCAAAAAAAATTCAAAATTCTGGCTACTAAAGCGCTTTCATTTCACCAACGTTGTTAGTGATAACTGTGAAAAAAAATAATTTTTTTCGATGTTGAAAAACATACTATGGTGATTCTACAATAAACTATTATTTCCCAATCTAGAGACCAGCAAATTTCTAAAAATAGTACTCCATTTAATATCCTTTTTAATGGTGAAATTTTTTTTTAATTACTTTTCAGAGATGAAGAAATTGATGAAGAAAAAGATAAAACCTTGGTTAAAGAATTCGTAACTTACCAGTCCGTCAGCCACGTTTTTTCATTTCCTATATTACGTATTATTAAATGGAGTACGTTTTTTGAAATTTGCTGGTCTCCAGGTCTGGAAATAGTAGTTTAGAATAACCATAGTAAGTTTTTCAATTTTGAAAAAAAAAATTTTTTTTCAAATTTCCCGCTAACAAAACGCTTTTTTCAGGAACGTTTACAAGTTTAGTATTGATCACATCTTATTGGAAATTTAACGGAGTTTTCAGTGGTAACAACAGATTTGTCCAAACCCTCTTAGTTTTGGAGTTATTGTTGCTTATTTAAAGTAAAAGTAATTAAAAAAGAAATTACACCAATAAAAAGGATATTAAATGGAGGAAGTTTTTTTAAATTTACTAGTGTCTAGGCTTGGAAATATTAGTTTAGAATCACCATAGTATGTTTTTCTACTAAAAAAAATATTTTTCAAACATCTCGCTACCAAAACGCTTATTTCACGAACCTTTTCGAGTTTAGTATTGATCACACCTTATTGGAAATTTGACGTAGTTTTCAATGGTATCAACGGATTTGTCCGAGTTATTGAGTTATCTATAATTTAGTTTATGTGAAGCAAGGTCGTGAAATCTTAAAAATTCAGAAGAAAAGGAATAACTTCGAAACTGATGAGATTCGGACCATAGTTAATTAGGACTTTTTGGTTCCATTTTGAATGTAGAATCTACTGGAAAAGTGTGTAACACGAGTAGCCCGACACCTTAACTCTAATAATAATAATAATATTATTAGAAATGTGTGGTGATTAGTGACCGTTAATCGATAATTATTCAGAAATCGTGTGATGTAGGTTTCAGAAAAACATTTTGTTATTGTAATTAATGTACACATTTATTATTAAAAAAGAAATTACACCACTAAAAAGGATATTAAATGGAGGAAGTTTTTTTTAAATTTACTAGTCTCTAGGCTTGGAAATATTAGTTTAGAATAACCATAGTAAATTTTTCAACTTTGAAAAAAAAAATTCAAATTTCTCGCTAACAAAACGCTTATTTCAGGAACGTTTACAAGTTTAGTATTGATCACACCTTATTGGAAATTTAACGTAGTTTTCAATGGTATCAACGGATTTGTCCAAAACCTTTTAGTTTTGGAGTTATCTATAATTTAGTTTATGTGAAGCAAGGTCGTGAAATCTTAAAAATTCAGAAGAAAGGGAATAACTTCGAAACTGATGAGATTCGGACCATAGTTAATTAGGACTTGTTGGTTCCATTTTGGATGTAGAATCTACTGGAAAAATGTGTAACACGAGTAGCCCGACAACTTAACTCTAATAATAATAATAATATTAGAAATGTGTGGTGATTAGTGACCGTTATTCAGAAATCGTGAGATGCGGTCTGGTGTGATGTAGGTTTCAGAAAAACATTTTCTTTATCGTGCCAACGTTTCGATTTTTATTCAGATATCGTGAGATGCGGTCGGGTGTGATGTAGGTTTTAGAAAAACATTTTCTTNTCTCAATAAAGATCGAAACGTTGGCACGATAAAGAAAATGTTTTTCTGAAACCTACATCACACCAGACCGCATCTCACGATTTCTGAATAAATATTATTAGAGTCAAGTTACAAATAAATTTATTTAAAATAGTAGTGAAGATGGAGGTTTTTTATTATTTAACATGTTTAAACTTTTTCAATTTTAACTACGGACCTGTAAGTTGTCAAGAATTTGTGAAATGTCTATACGAATTTAAAAATTAATTACAACTATTATTGAATAAGGGCTGGTCGATCGCACAGAAGATACAATTAAAACAAATAAATCTTTGGCTTAAATTTAAATGTGTACATGAATAAATAACTTAAAACATGTAAAGGGTTGATTGTTATATTACGCGGTCTTTTTCTTCATACATCCATTTTAGTGATGCTATCGTGCATACCTGAGATGTGTTCCAAATTACTGTGAATACGTGTTTGTTAAATTTTAAACTTACAGCTTCCGTTCTGTAGGAACCTAAACTGATATTGACGCATGGGCCATAGTCTATTCACGGCCCCTAAGTTACACATGTTCGTTCGCAACGAATGTTTGCTAATTGAAGCAGATACGTGAATATTTTATGGGGTAAATGTTGATTACACGGTCATTAATTTAAAATTGTAGATCTGTACGAAAGAATCCCTTATGAGATGTTTAATTGACTCGAGGACTGTGTTATTTCATTTTTTTATTAATCGGAATGAGAATTTTTTTATAGATACCAACGAGAAACC